GTCATTGAAGTACTAGGAATGTGATGAGTAAGATACACGGCCTGCTGTTCAGGAGTTCAAAAACTACATAGTATGATAAGTGTAAGTAGAGATGGGGACATATAGATTAGGACATCTGACTCATCCTTGAAGCAAAGAAAGGCATGATGTAACAAGGACTTGGGCCAGCAGATTCCTTCTGATTGAATGCAATTTAAAGGCAAGGGGAGATAACAAGTGAACCAGAGATCATAAAACTCAGAAGCAGAGCTAGAGAGAACATTTCTGTGTAAAGGATACCGGATAAAATTTTCCTAGACTATCACAGAATTTTAAAAAAAAGAGTTCAATGGAGGTAAGAAGCAGGACAGAAGACATGGTCAGCCAATTGTCATCATATAGATAATTAGGGTGGGTTTTTATTTTACATTTTTATTTATTTGCTTTTTCATTTTATGATCGAAGACTAGTAATTAGTGCAGATGTGAACTGCAAGATCTAATTGCATACAATCGAGAAGGGACTGATGAGCTAATCTGATGTAAAAAAAAAAAACCAAAAACTCCTTCCCTTCCTTCCTGTTTTACATGTCAAGTTCATTAACATAACCAATAACACCATAATTTGCATTCCCTGTCCAATCACACCAGCAGCAGATGAATAGCATACCACTAATTAAAAAGCAAAAATTGAATACAGCAGTTTCGCTATTTTGTTTGATGAAAGAAACAAGAATAAGCTTGCATCAACCTCTTGTTGAAAGGCACACATTATATACAACCTTGATTAAAGAATTTCCACCAGTGATTCTGACAAAATATTTTATCTTTATCATCTCCCCAATGTGGAAATCAGCCACTTATGCTTCTAGCATTATGCTCTATGTGCTCTGGAAAAGCAGATATTTTATTCTTTGGTTCAGTCATAGGGTGGGTAGCATAATGGTAAGATAGTTTAGTAGTTAAGATTCTGGAGTGTGGAATTCTGTAGCCTAATTTACATCCAAACTCTTTTGTTGTTGGTTTTGTAACTATAGAATGGAACAGTGATATCAGTCTTTTATGGTTCTTTTGAGATTAAATGAGATAGTGCGCATAAACTTAAGCCCAGGATTTAGCATACTGTAAGAAACATATTATATAGGAATTGTTATTGCTATTTTACCTTAACTATCTCCATTTTATACTAAATTATTTTGGAATCCAGCTCCAAAACTTTGACTTAATAACTCTTCAATGACAAAAAATGTTCCTACATATTAATCTTTCTATTCAGAGTGTGACTTGTAGAATACTAGTTTATAGCATGTATACATAGGAAATTTATTCTGCCATAGATGATATATCTTTTTTGTGTTTAAATTTTGTTCCGTAAAAACACCAGATATTGTCAATGTTTTGAACACCACAATTGTAACGTCAAGAGATGTAGGAATGAACCCATCACAGCAGTTGCTTGCACTTTTCCAAAAGGGACACACTTTGTACAGAAACTTCCTAACATGCATGCTCTGCGGCAGGAGCTACTCTGATACGCTGGACTTCACTTTGCCCACTTCTACTTCCTTGAAGGAGGCCAAGCAATAAGCAAATAATCAAGACTGAACCAATGTTAAGATAATTCAAATCTAAATTAATATAAAAGTCATTTTAACCATTACAATTTTAATTATTTTTATGACTGTTTTATGTGGTGACCACATTTCTTCAAAACAATTCTTTGTCTTCTTTAAAACTCTTCAAACTCAACATCTATTGTGATTCACATCATCTTTTGTGATTCTTATCATCTTATTACTCTATTATTATCATCTTATTATCATCTTATACCCTACCCCTCCCATCAGTGACACTCTCTGTTTCCATGGCACCAAAATTGCACTGATCTTCTCCATTTAACAAAAACTGATTTTTGAGAAACTGGCTGTGACGACAAATCAGCTCTTACCAATATCTCTTGCCAATATCACCATTTCTTTGGCTTCCTTGACACCAGCAACTACCCTGGTCATCTTGTGAGCCCTCTAACCATTTCTGATTCCAGTGATCCAAGTTTTTCCTCACTCCCAACTCCAATCTTGCCTCCCCAAGGATTATTCCTAAGGCCCTCTTATTTTGCTATCTTACTTTCACTTCCTTGTTAATATGATCTGTTTTCAAAAGTTGGAACATCCCTTTCATGAGTCTAGCCTCCACCTATTACTCTTCTTACTGTCCTGTCTATTCAACTCTTTGTGCTCCTTATACTGCCAGAACTCCTGGAAGTTCATCTGACAGCTCAAGCTCAATATACCTGAAACATCAACTTTCCTTCTCATGATTTTTATCAGGTTTGAAACTTGTGTTAAACAACCCTAAAAATCTTGGAGTTAGTTCTGGTGCTTGACTCTACCTCTGCCTTTCTTCATTTTAGTTACTCTTTCATTCCCAAAGCCTCCCTATACCTACCTCTGCATTGTCTGAATCCCTCCACTCTCCTTGTCTTCTGAAAGGTGTTGCCCTGCTGTAGGTAGAATGAAGGGCATTGTATAAGCTTCACAGCCTGGTGGAGGCGAAAGCAGCATAAAGGCAGCAATTACAATGCAATGAAATAGAAGTAATAAAGGAGATGTGTCCCTGGGAAGAAAGAGTAAGGAACATATGAGCCAAATCTTGAAGGATGAATAGGGTTCAGCCTGACAAAGGCACAATGAACATTCTGGAAATAATAATATGTACGAAAGAGTGTCAGCAAAGAAGACCATGACTCATTGTTGAAGTGCAAGGAGCTCTGTCTGCCTGCAATTCTGCCTTCACTGAGGAAAAGTACTGGCGAGGATGAGGTGAAGCTCCAGGGGTGGCAGGGGAGAGGACGAGATGTCAGGACGTTGCTGCTGTCCTGGTGCTGTGTAACAGAATCCCGAGAAGCCCCATGTGCTTAGTCAATATCATTTGTTATTTCTTACAGCACTACAGCTGTTCAAAATCTTATGCTGTTTCACCTGTGCTTCATGAAGCACAGGTCGGCATTGGCATTGTTTCCCTGGGCCAGGAGGATCCAAACTCCACTCCAATGTTCAGCTCAGGCTGTGGTGACTGATTACATTTCTCTTTGGTTTGCTCCATGGTCTCTCAATACACAGTAGCCTCCTTCTGTCCTAAAACAGGTCAAAGATGAACACTGCATTTTTCCTTATGGCCTTGGCACAGTCTTGTGACATTTCTTCTCCCTATCTTCTAACGGTCAAAGCAAGCCCAACTTGGCTTCCAGAACCAGAAAACTGAGGCTCAACTCCCTTTAGGAGGAGCACACAAATGTAAGGGAGCTGTTATCTTTGTAGATGGTCTACCACAGGGCTTACAGATGGCACCAACCTCAAGTGCACCTTTTGCATGAATTTAATAGCAAACTGACATTTTAGACTTGTGTTGAAAAATGTGTCTTTGGGGCCCAGTGCGGTGACCTCATGGCTTAAGTCCTCGCCTTGCACTTGCCAGGATCCCATATGGGCACCGGTTCTAATCCCAGCAGCCCCACTTCCCATCCAGCTCCCTGTTTGTTGCCTGGAAGAACGGCTGAGGATAGCCCAAAGCCTTGGGATTCTGCACCAGCATGGAAGACCCAGAAGAAGCTCCTGGCTTCAGATCAGCTCAGCTCCTGCTGTTGTGGCCACTTTAGGAATGAATCAGAGGACAGCAGATCTTCCTCTTTGTCTCCTCTCCTCTAGGAATAAATGAGTTTCCAATAAAAATAAATAAGTATATTTTTAAAACGTGTTTTTGATTCTAATGTACAGGTTAAATTAAGTGCTCATGGGCCAGTACCTGGAAATACGTCAACCTTAGGAAAATGCCCTCTGTGAGCCCATAAGCCTTGACATGATTTTAACTTTCTATGGAAACAGATAGAATCAATACATTGTAACTGATAGTTTTCTTTTCTCCTGGCAAAAATACCATGTAAGTACTTCCCAAGGGCTCTGTACTGCACCCCCCGCCCCAACCACCACCACAGAATGGAAGGGATTCCCTTTAACCATAGGGGAGGAAATGCTGCAAATGCTCTTCCTAAAATGTTTTGGTTTTAAAGAACTACTTCTTACCTTACAGTGTTGTTTCTGTGAATAAAGCATAATAACCAGATGATACTTTTGCAGGGCAGAGTTATGATGGGAAGCTCAGAAATCTGTTTTGTGGTTCTAAAGGCTTTTCAGTATCAAAGCATGTGTGTATGACCATACAGTGAGGGTGGGTGTTTTGTTTCTTTGAAAAATGAATGCTTCAACTCGTGCTTATATTTTCCATGGTGTGATTAATATGGAAAGGAGCCATGAAAAAGCCTCAGAAAATATTGCATAATTTGTAAGCTTTGATTATGCTACCAGGAAACGCAAGCTCCTTTCTGAGCACCGATGTTAATGTGTAAGCTGTTGTAATTTGGGCAGAAGAGAGCCTAATGCTTAGAGACATCATGCTTTTTCAAACTTCCTAGAGCTAATTGAGATCCAGGTTCTGAGAACAGACAGGGCCCAGCCTTTTGAGGTTTCAGGAGTTCATAGATTCCTTTCACTTGGGTGATTAAGGATCCAGGCCTCACTGGACTGAGAACCTGAGGATGAGGCCAAAATACAGTCCCTGCTAGGCAGTGTTCAGACATTGAGCATCATTGAACACCTGGTTAATACCAAGTGAGCATCAAGATGAGGAGCTTTGATGTGATGCCCATTCTCCTCCCAACCCACTCCCACTCCACAGGTCCAGGGTACAGCATTTAAAGCCGGTTTTCTTTGTGAGATTTTGTCTTAAATTCCAATTTTCCACTTCCTAGCTATATAATTATGATAACTACTTTAAGCCTTGGTTTCCATCATTGTAAAATCTTAGTAATAATTGTACCCTTTCTCATAGGATTACTGTGATGGATTAAAAGAAAGTATTTATAGCACTTACCTAGTGTTCAGGAGGAGTGCCAAATAAACTCTAAGTACTGTTGTTTTAATGACTTCTCTGCTGATCTTTGCTGTGTTTCTCTTTATTTCTCAGGGAGATGTTAATCTCAGTGGCCCTGGGCCAAGTGTTATCCCTTCTTATTTGTGGAATTGGCTTGACCAGCAAGTACCTGGCTGAAGATTTTCATGCCAACACACCAGTCTTCCAGAGTTTTCTCAATTACATCCTTCTCTTCTTGGTGTATACTACCACATTGGCTGTCAGACAAGGTAAGTTTGCAAAAGCACCAGAAATGAATAGTCACCATTAGATCCCTTTTTGTCATGTATAAAGGTAAGACATTTGAAAACTCCAAATCTTATTTTCTGTTTCTCAGCAATACTGCAAACTAAATGAATAAATAAATCACTAAGAACACAAATGCCTGAATTCAGCAGGTCATAAGAAATACAGTACAGGCAGAAATGCACAATTGCTCACTCTGTGAATTCCTCTTAACAGTCCTTGTACCTCTCAATGAATCTGAATACAGGTTTTCCTGGATCCTGGAGCAGGTGCAGTTGCAGCTATCCTAAATAATACTTAGTTGTGAGACATATGAGGGAATTACAAAGAAACAAATGTTATTTGAGAAAGTGACAAAAAGATAAGTAAAATAGCAAACATAGCACTTCTGACAGCAATGCAGGGCAAAGTAAACTATCACAAGTAAAAATAAGGAAAACAACAAAATATGCCCTCTGAGTGTCAAGGCAACAGACACTTTTCTAAGGAGCACTGGCAGTTGGAAGACTTCAGGTATATACCTCGAGGACATGTCTTACAGCCTTATAATTACATCAGTGGTATAAAAAAATAGCCAACAATTTTCCCCCAAATAAGTAGCTGTTGAGAAACAGTCATTATAAGGTTGAATGAAAGCTATGCATTTAATAATAATTATGCTGTTTAATCAATCCTGGTAAGCTCATATTTTATAAAAAAAATGTTTAAAGAACTGCTTGTAATTTATATATGCCCTTATTTGGATTCTAAACATTGGATTTTAGCTGTGTGTCATGTGTGATTTTAAAGCTAATAATTAATAATTTTGCATTGTATAAATGTGTTATCTAAAAGTTATTCACACCATTTTATCATGGGTGTCTTGAATTAAAACAAGATCCCTAGAAGAATAGAAATGGTAGCAGCCCAAAGACTAGGAGCAGCAAGGGATTTGGAGGCAAGAAAAGGCAAAAGAGGCCTGAGGAAATTCTGATGATCCCAGGCACTGATGGAATCTCTAGAAGGCTCCATAGAGATTGTACCATTGCCTCAGGTCATTAACATATGTGTGACTGTGTCTTTTGTAGAATACTTACTCTGAGTGTTTGTTATTTTAAACTTCTTCAGAGGTTTGACTACGCTAACATTAAGCTCACATCTGGAAATCAGTATAATAATCACATTAATATTGCACAAGCTATTTAAATGCTATCTCCTGGAAACAGAGTAACCTTTTTATTTAGGCATCTCAAGATGTAGGAGGAAATAAAAACAAAGGAAAAACGAAGAGTCTGGTGTATACAGGGAGATCTCTCATAGCCACAGTTCCACTGCGCTTTCCAATGTGCTCGGATGGCTGCACTTTGGGTCTGAGCAGGGTTCTGGTTATCCTACGTGTCCCAGCATAAAGAAGCATCGCCTACCCTGCTGGGCCCACATGTTAATTTTATTTATTTATTTTCTTTCTTTATTACATTTTATGACAGTTTCATAAGCTCTGGTATTCCCCAGCCCCTTCCTGTACCCTCCCCCATTGGTGGATTCCTCCACCTTATTGCAGTATTACAGTACAATTCCAGTCATAATTCTTTCATGGCAACCATGTACCATGGATAGAGTCCAGCATCTTATTGTCCAGATTGATTCAACAGTTTCTTGGGGAGACCATCGCTGGTCTGAAGTCAGAGCTGGCAGAATATCATCCCAACCAATTAAAAGCCATAACTTAGCATCAACAACGGTTTTCAACCTTATGGAGTTAATTGACATAGTACTGGGTGATCAATATGATTAGAAAATGCAAGTTCTTATCCACATCCTATGATTACTTCATTGACATTTCAATTTTAGTATATACACAACTGGCTGCTGCTATACACCTTAAAATGGCTATAGGGTACTATTCAGCTGTCTCGTATCTATTTTCATTTTTGTATTTAGTAGTTTATAGTGTTGAAGCATAATCTTTACTGAACTTGGTAGATTTTGGGATAGTCCATGCTGGCTTATACCTCTAACAAGGCATTTGTAAAGAGTTGACGTACAGAACAGTTTTAGGAGGGGTTTGCAGAGAAATCTTCAATACCTTAGTGAGGAGTAATTTATCTTTGCATCCTACCTAATAAGGTATATGTGAGTCCAAGCTGACCGTTTCCTGCCTGGTACTGAGCTTTCCTTGTTGTTCTCTGTCTATCTAACCTAACTTCTTTTGGGGTTGGGGGCGGCCTGCGGAGCGACCCTGATGGTCATTGCAAGAGAGTGTGGGGATCCAAAGTTGGAACTAGGTAAGGACCAGAGAAAGTTCCTCTCCCTAGCCCTGAAGAGAGTTTACTGTTCTTCTGTTTCTGTGGGCCGCTCAGGGTTCCTGGCTGTTGTTCCAATGACATTGGTTCCTGCGAGGAAGGATTTGGGCTTCTTCCATCCCATGTGGGAAATCCAAGTGGGAGTGGATGACCTCCGAGTTCTTGGCCTCCAAAGGCACTCCAGTTCCCCGTGGTCTCCTTGGCAGTTGGGATATAGTCCTTGGTGCCCATACTGATGGTCCTTGGTGAGGATCTGGGAGTCTCCAGGGTTGGGATACAATCCTCCTCCTGTCCCCCTGCTCCACTCTGGGGTCCCGCCCCTGTTCTGTGCATATGACCTTCTGTTAAGAGGTTGTCAGGATCGTTCTTGATTCCGCCTGTATGTCTTTGTAGTTTTACTATGGCCAAATGCTGATTCTAGTCTGTTGTCTATAAGTTACCTGTTGTGTTCCTTATAAGTTATACTTCACATCTTCCTCACACATTCTAGGAAGATGGAAGATTTCCCTGCTCTCCCTCCCCATTACCGAGTAGCATAGGGTCTTAAACATATATTAGGTTTTACAATTCTTTGATGTAGATCATAAGTAATCTGACTCACATTGATTGTTGGTTCATTGGTTACATCACAATATCTTATTGCATGTGATACAAGCTGTTTGAGGTGCATGTTGGTTTCTTTTGTAACAGGTGTTTTGGATATATTCCTAGGAGTGCTATTGCTGGATCATATGGTATGCAGATTTTGAGTTGTTTGAGTGTTCTCCAGACTGATTTCCATAGAGGCTGTACCAACCTGCATTCCCACCAGCAATGGAGTAAGGTTCCCTTTTCCCCACATCCTCAGCATCAAGTGTTGTTGGTGGTTTTTTGTGTGTGAGCCACTCTTACTGGAGTTAGGTGGTACCTCATTATTGTCTTAATTTGGATTTCCCTTATTGCCAGGGAACTTGAGCATTTTTTCATATGTTTGCCATTTGGATTTGTTCCTTTGTGAAATGTCTACCCATTTCCCGTGTCCATTTCTTGAGTGGTTTGTTTGTTTTGGTGTTTTGGTTGTTCTGGAGATCTTTGTATATTCTGGAGATTAGCCTTCTATTGCCTTTGTAGTGTGCAAAGATCCTCTCCCATTCTGTGGGTTGTTTTTTTACTTTGTTGATTGTTTCGCTTGCTTTACAGAAGCTTCTTAGTTTGATGAGGTCCCATTTGTTTATCTTGGTCTTGATTGCTGTTGCTTTTGGTGTTCTTTGTAGGAAGTCAGGGCCTACACCTACATCTTGCAGGGTGTTTCCAACATTTTCCTCCAAAAGCTTGAAGGTTTCTGGATGTAGGTTTAGGACTTTTTTTCCATGTAGATTTGATCTTAGTGTATGGTGAGAGATGTGGATTTATCTTCTTGTCTCTGCAGGCTATTAACCAGTTGTTCCAACAGCATTTATTGAAGAGACCTTCCCATTTGCATGGATTGTCATCTGTTTTTTGTCAAAGATTATTTGACTGTATCTGCGTGGGTTCTCTTCTGTTGTTTCTATTCTGCTCCATTGATCCTCCTCTCTATTTTTGTGCCAGTACCAGGCTGTTTTGATAACCACCGCCCTATAGTATGTCCAGAGGTCTGGAACTGTGATTCCCCCTGTTAACTTCATATTCTTCAGGATGGATCGAGCTATTCATGGTTTTTCCACATGTTAATTTTATGCCACCTTGGTCACATCATAGCAAGAAGGTAGACATCAGAATATGTTTTTAATCAAATGTGTCTTTATAATTTCACTCATACAGCCTCTAAAAATTTATGATTGTCACCCTTGAACAGAAAGTGATAAATGAAAAAAGCACTTTAAAAGCATTAAAGATAATGTTGTTACAAAAACCCTGCCAAAATTTGACTTCAAAGTTAGACTGAATTCTCCTTATCAAATTTGCATTGGACCACTGATCAAAGAGACTGAAGCAAGAAGTTCTAATATAAGATCCAGAATGAACTGGAGCTTTGAACGTGCCCTTGAATATTGATTTATGCAAAAATTGGGATATCTGTTGAATAAATGTTATGTCTATTTTTTTTCATGATTGCAACTTGATTTACTTCCAGATGGTTCAAAATTTTGAGAAGGTGTTTACTGTTCACAGAGAAAGACTTCAGTAACAAAACTTCAAAAATGCAGTTTGGTTAACAGTATATTCAATTTGAAAATTAATTTATGTACAACTTAGATAGCTATTATCTTGATCATTTTGTTTTAGCAAACTGCAACTTTAAGAAGTTACTCAGGAAATTAGAATGTACCTATTGAAGCACTGCTAAAAAATCCTAAAATTCATATTGTCTATGCAAAGTGGGACTGTAGGAATGTGACCAAAAAATATAATGAAGCTTCCAAAAACTTGGATTTGCCTAGGAAGTTCTCGAAAGAGAAGAAAAACAGGCCAGGGTCCTACTGAGGATTAGCTGGGTCTTCAATTAGAAGCCAAAAGTATGATAGACATTTAAAAGCAAGGTAAAAATTAAATATGTTTTTTAAATCAGGAAAACATATAGTGTCAAACTCTGTCCACAAACTTTTCTTATCAGAGGTCTTTCTGCTTCCCAGAACTACTGCAACCATAAATAACTAACATTCCTCCTTTGGCAACTATAAAATTTTTAAATAGTAATTTCCCTTCTTTCCTCTCCTACAATTTTACTGTATATTTGCCTC